AACCTACTAGCAATGGCGCCAACCTAATAGCTATGGCCTCCAACCTAGTAGCAAAAGGAACCTAATAGCGATTGCCTCCAACCTACTAGCCATGCGCTCCAACCTAGTAGCAAAAGGAACCTACTAGCAATGGCGCCAACCTAATAGCGATGGCCTCCAACCTACTAGCGATGGCCTTCAGCATGAAAAGAAGCTCAGTGCTGGAGTCGACTCCAGTGTCCTTCAAAGGTTTTGTGAGAAGCCCTTCACAACAAGCAGGGCCCAAATCAGCAAAGTCCATTGAACCCTGAACACAAAGTATTTTGAGACCCACCTCATTTGTAATCTCAAAGCATCCCGAGCTACATATGCTTAGGTCTTGCACCTAGACTGATACAACGAAATCATTATCCAGCACTACTGAAGGTAACTTTCACTATTCGTTACTAGACCCTAACTAATTGTTATGCTGGCCATGCTCGCTTCATCTCTTTTTTGGCCAGGTCACCAGTGCCGCTCCCAGCCAGGTAGAAGCCTGTGTCGCCGAGCCCAACGGGACACAGTAGCCGTCACCATCCTGACAAATTAAGATCGTTCTTCCTGAAAAGCACTTTCGCAAAAAACATTCAAACACCAGACTTGCCAGAGTGAAAGTGAAGCAAAACCAGCTACTAGTAACACGTGCATCGCTACTAGTAACAAGTGCAATACAACTAGTAAGAAAAAAGCTACTAGCGCCCTTGTTACTAATAGCGATGCACCTGTTACTAGTAGCTTCTAGCTACTAATAGCAATGCACTTGTTACTAGTAGATTCAACAAACACCAAAAGACTTGCCAGCGAAAACAAAACAAAACCAAATATCTTCTCCACTGGGAGACTACAGTACTTTAGCTTCCATGTGTGAGTGTTTGCGTGTTTGCTTAACGCAGAGAAGAAAGGTTGAGTATAAGGCAGAGTTTTGCACCAATGATTCAATGATGATGGACGCATTCGAATGGATGAACTGAGGATCATCCAAATCCCCTTCATTCGTCATTCGCAAAGTTTAGAAATGGTTGGCACCAAACCAGAGAGAAAAATGACACACCGCCTTTCTGTGATGTGCTCTTTTGATGCAACGTGTTTCACGACGAGTTGTAAGTGCATATCTAAGAGAACTGCAAGTCTAGTGCAAGTGCTCAAGTGTTCATGACGTTCTGTGGAGCGAGCTTCTCGCGCCTCCGTGTTGAACCAGGGTTGGGAGCTCATGAATCTGAAGCACAAGGGGAGGCCACCTAGCTCATCTGGGATGTGTCAAAAAAGACCATTCTGACAGAAGAGCAGACAGGTAGTCACACCTCGCGTTGGCTTCACATAGTTTTGGGTGCCTATTAACATGCTTGGGCTGTCCTGAAAACACCACTACTGCTGGGGAAATTCGATCTGAACCAGTACTTGTGACGTGATCTTCACATGCAAAGCATCAAACAAAGAGGTGCATCCCACCTATAAGCAGGAGCCCCCCGAGCAGTGCTTCCAGTGCGTCTGCAGGCACCTTCGACGCATCAAACGTTGTGTTCAATTTTCTCCCAAGGGTATGCAACTTCCTCTCATCACTTCTCAACCTCTTCTAATCTCTCAATCTCTTCTACCTCTCACCTTACGTCTTGTTTGTTTCACCTTCTTAGAAAGCTGCAAACAGAAGAACTGACAGGGCCAGTGACTCCTACAGATCGCTTGAACGCAATCTTCACGCGCACAGCCCGCGCCTTGCGACCCAGCAGCGGAGCCTCCTTCCGAGACCCCAAGGGCACTGGGCGGAAATCGGTGCAGGGAAAAGTGAGGCAAACGAAGAACTAGTGCATTACTACTAGTAACAAGAAGCTAATAGAAACAAGTGCATCGCTTCTAGGAACAAGTGCATTGCTACTAGTAACAAGTGCATCGCTTCTAGTAACAAGTGCCTTACTAGTAGTAACAAGAAGCTACTAGTAACACGTGCATCGCTACTAGTAACAAGTGCATCGCTTCTAGTAACAAGTGCCTTACTAGTAGTAACAAGAAGCTACTAGTAACACGTGCATCGCTACTAGTAACAAGTGCATTACTACTAGTAAGAAAAAAGCTACTAGCGCCCTTGTTACTAATAGCGATGCACCTGTTACTAGTAGCGATGCACTGTTACTAGTAGCGATGCACCGAAGAACTCTTAACACTTGCCACAAATGACAACAAAGACCTTCCTAAGAAAAAGTGGGAAGTAGCTGGGACCAGCCTGTATTCAAGAAGCTGTCCAAACCCAAGGCCAAGGCCACCTTTGACAAGCACCTGGCGCAAGGAAAGCTTTAAGTGTATGAAATTGGACTTGAAAATATTGTCTGATCCTTTCTTGTTAGGTTGGAGGCCATTTCTAGTAGGTTGAAGGCCATCGCTTTTAGGTTGGAGGCCATCGCTTTTAGGTTGGAGGCCCTATCAACTTGGCACCTGTTACTACTAGCGAGGCACTTGTTACTAGAAGCTTCTTGTTACTACTAGTAAGGCACCTGTTACTACTAGCGAGGCACTTGTTACTAGAAGCTTCTTGTTACTACTAGTAAGGCACCTGTTACTACTAGCGTGGCACTTGTT